CACATAAGAGCTAGTTCAACTTTCTGAGAGAAAGAAGATTATTAGGTGCAAATGGGTGTACAAAATGAAAATAACAATATCAGAAAAAGAAGAGGAAAAATTCAAGCCTCGATTGGTAGCAAAAAAATTTTTACAGTAGAAGAGGATAAATTATAATGAAATCTTTTCTTCTGTGGTCAGACATACTTCAATCATGATAGTGCTTGCATTAGTAGCTAGTTGAGATTTTCATATGGAACAGATAAATGTTAAAATTGCATTCTTGCATGGTGATCTGGAGAAGCAAATTTACATGGAACAATCAAAAGGGTTCACTCAATCTGGATAGGAGCATCTGGTTTGCAGATTAAAGAAATTGTTGTATGAGTTGAAATAGTTTCCAAGACAATGGTACAAACAGTTCGACTTCTACATGATTCAAATAGGCTACAAGAGATGTGAAGGCTACAAGCGATGTGAGTATGATTGTTGTGTCCATGTCAAGAGCCTTGATGAAGATTCTATTATTTTTTGTTTCTGTATGTTGACAATATTCTGATTGTTGTAAAGAATATGCATGATGTACTTGGTTTGAAAGCTTTATTGAGCCAGAAATTTGAGATGAAAGATTTTGGTTCTCCAAAGAAGATTCTTGGAATGGAGATTCATCGAGATAGAGATTCAAGACGATTATGTTTATCTCAACGAGACTATGTTGAGAAAGTGTCAGACATGTTTGAGATTAGCAAAACAAAGTCTGTGAGCACTCCATTGACAAATTATCTTAAGCTTTATTCAGAACAGTGTCCTAAGACAGATAGGAAAATCGAAAACATAACAAAAGTTCCATATGCTAGTGTAGTTGGCTACTTGATGCAATAGTATGTACTCGCCATGATTTGACTCATCTTGTTAGTCAAGTCTGCAAATACATGTCTAAATCTGGAAGATGAAATTGGGAAGCAGTCACGTGAATTTTCAGGTATCTGAAGTGTACTGTGGGACATAAAATTATTTTTGACAGTCAGCAGAATGATTCATTAATTGTGGGGTACGTGGATTCAGACTTTGCAGGTGATTTGGATGATAAAAAATCTATAACCAGGTATGTGTTTACTCTTTGTGAAGGTCCTATATGTTGGAAATCAACAGTTCAATCTATTGTGGCATTATCTACAACTGAAGCTGAGTACATGACAGTAGCTGAAGCTGCTAAAGAAGCCTTATGACTTACTGGGCTAGAAGAGGAACTGAGTGCTGAGCAAGATGAAGTTCAGTTGCATTGTGAAAGTCAAAGTGCCATTTATCTGGCTAAGAACCAGGTGCACCATGCGTGAACTAAGCACATTGATGTCAGGTATCACAAAATCAGAGAATTAATTGCTTCTGGCGAGATACTGTTGCAGAAGTTTTATACTAATGAGAATAAAACTGATATGTTGACAAAGCCAGTTATTATCAACAAATTCTTGCATTGCTTAAACTTGTTGAGTATTTACAGTTGCTAGACAAATATGGTAGCCCAACTCACTTTGTTATTTGAGAAACTTCAGGTATTTTCTTTCTTCTAAGGAGTTGGATATTCGTCAAGGTGGAGATTTGTTAGGTACTACTTATATACAAGATAAGGGACAAATGCAAGAGCGGAACGGAGGGAGCGAGCGAGCGGAGTGGAAGCATCTGTTAAATTGGAGGAGTTTTTCGTTATGTGGGTTGGGGTGCGGGAGCAATGCTCTTGGGCAATGCTCTTGCGGTATGATACATGGGTAATTTTGTAATTACATATTGTAAGCAATGCTCTTGCGGTATGGTACATGGGTAATTTTGTAATTACATATTGTACATCAGAGTTATCTATATATATGTATATATATATATATATATATATACATATATACATATATATATATATACATATATACATATATATATATTATATTGTAACCCTAAGGAGATCTTGTACTATTTTTCTGAATTGAAGGAAAAATGCCGCTCTACGTAGGCATCTTTGCTGAACTTCGTTAAATTTGTTCCCGAGGACGTAGGCATCTTTGCTGAACTTCGTTAAATTTGTGTGTTTTCTTCTGGATTTCCGTCGATTCTTAGGTTTCTTTTGCCATAAAATTCTCAACAAATTTTAAGGCGGTGTTTGATGCATAGAATTAATAGGATTTATGAGCAATTTTAATGTATAGCCACACAAATGTGAAAAAATGTGAAATAAATTTGATAGTTTGCTAAATCCAAATTTAGTTCCCTCTATTAATTTTTTGACGTAAATCCGGATTTACTAAATCTGATTCTTAGGTGGATTTAATGGGTTTAGGTTACAAAAAAATTAAATCTTAATAAAATGCCAAACATAAGAAATTGATTTAAATAAATTTAATTTAAATCATACCAAATATCTTTTTGGATTTAACAACACCGGATCCGGATTTGCTAAATCCTAAGTGGAGTCAAACACCCCCTAATAGTAGGGTGATATCAAATCTACAAAATGATATTGAACTTGCTGAGGCTTTAAGGCGTCAATATTTGACAATAGAGTAATTTCAGATGGGCAAGCACGATTGCTGCAGAGATGAGAATACTATAGATGAACTTGGACGGAATATAGAAAAATTGTGCATGGTAACTAAATTTAAGAAGTGTTGGAAGGTGATTGTTACAGTTTCACATTGGGAAACATTGTAAAGAAAACTGCTGCAGATTCGTTTTCTTGTTTTAGGCAATTGAGAAAAGTTATTCTTGAAGAGATGAAACTCCATGGTTAACTTGTGCCGAACTTATCCCCATTAAGTTAAATAGAAGCTTATAAAGTATTCATGTTCTTTGATCACACTGTTTTGAAAGACAACCCCCCTACCTTATTTTATTTTATTTTTTCTTTTTTTGTATTCAATTAGAGTTTGCTGCCTTCTATTTAATGTATACATTTTTCTTTATTTTTGATGACTATGATGATTGCATCTGGCTTATTTGGGTATGGCTGTTTGCGCAAGGCTCCATGGCAGAGGCTTTACTGCCCACCGTGTAGGCCAAAATTCGTGCGCAGTAGCAGATATTAATCATGACTAAATTTGTTCCACGTGCACCACTGCCATATATATGAATGTACCATGCTAGCATTTTTCTAGCTGAATTATCACCTGACTAATTTGATTTTCTAGGCATCACTCAACCTCTGAAACAGACTGCCAAAAGTCCTGCTGAGAGCGGCATGTCACACTGGCATCTCAAAGGAAGGCGAAACAATCGAATTATATCCAAGAAGTTTGACGAATATGCAGATGGGAAGAACCTAAATGGCACAGACAAGCCCAATGTTCAATTTACAGAAACAACAACTTCCTATAACATTGGAAAATTCGACTCTGCAACTAAAGAGCAGGCTCTTGAACCAGAATTTTCGTCCGGAAAAGAGATCAATTATGATACAGAGGAGGAAGATGAAGAGATATTTACTGGATTAGGGACCAAGAGGGATGATTCAGAGAGACAACACAGCGACTATGTAGATTCAGATGATAAACGACAGTTCATATCAATGACGCCACTTCAGCTATGCAAGGCATACTGGGAGGATCCTGAAGATAATCTCGACCAGTTTTATTCAATCCCTTATAGATACGGAATGTTCCCAGTGTTGATTGATGTGGACTTGAAGGTTCAAGCGAGATATCGAGGACAGCATGCCCCTCTGGTTTCGTTAATGAGCAAGCTCAATGGCATGGCCATAGTAGGACATTCTGTTCAAATCGAAGTACTGGAAGATGGATCCAGCGATCTGCTTCTTCCATCGAACGAGTTCGAAGATGCACCGGCTCCGCCGATCTGGAGAACCGCTAAAAGAACTTCGATGCACCGCCTCCCTCGATCGAATCAGGATCGGCAAAACAACTCGTCTATTGATGACAAATCTCTGTCGAATCTCCCAGCTCTACAGGTTCAGAGGAAGAGGATCTACCACGCTCACCGATCGCCGTCCGGCAGGTTTCAGAGAAAACCTCTTAAAACAGTAAGCTTATCTTCGAGCCAGAAAACACGAGCGCTCTCTTCATTTGTTTCGGAGAAGAAGAACAATGGCAGATGTGTTTTTTTGGGTGGGTTGATCAAAGCAGATGGATCAATGCCTCCGATAACCTGCATCCCTATGAAGGTGGTGTTCAGTAGGATATTAGAATCAGTTGGGAGGCCATCTGCTGCTGTGACTCACCGAGCTATAGCAGCCATTGCCGCAGAAAGAGGTCCGTCTTAGTTAAATTTTTGTTACATACATTGCGCTCGAAACATTGCTATTTATAAATCTAGCCCTCTTTTTCATACATTTTTCAAATTCTCACTCAAATATCGAAATTCACGATAAAATACCTACCCATATATATTTCAGTTTTATAAAATTCTGAATGGTTTTATCGTGGAACAAGTAAATGCAACAGTTCGGCAGTTTGAAAAAATATCCAGGTGCTAGTTTTGTAAATAACAATATTTTGAGTCGTGTGTATGTGATCATCTTTAATTTTTTTTATGCCATCATGATTTAAATTTATTAGCTTATATGTGCTATTGCTGTTCGGCTTAAGCATGATAGGGCCATGATCTCCACCATTGTATATTGTTCTAATCGGAGACCAAGTTTCATTGATTCGGAAGGAGCTTACCGCTAAATTTAATAGTTATTGGGCTGAGGTTTGGCAAGCTTGAGCTTTTGAACAAACTGTTTTTCTGAACTAATTGTCTTATGTACAGTACTAATTGTCTTATGTTCAGCACAAATTTAACATATGCACCACCTTACCTGTGCATGAAAAGGTGTATTTCACTTTTTAAAAATTAAAATAGTTGTATTTTTGTTGTGATGTGAAAATTTTGGGTGGTATAAATGCAAAAAGTAGAGTTTAGGTGTTAGATATGTAGACACATAGGAATTGGGTGGTTATGTATGTGAATGCCTCAATTTATATTTGTTGAGTGATGGAGGATTTATGATGATGGAGATAGTTTAATGTCTCCATGTTTTATGAAGATATCTGAGGCTCTAACACATAAGTTGTGAGATGCGCATGAGATTGATTTTTTTGTGAAAAGTTTTAGGAATAGAGAAATATCAGGAGGCTTAGCTCAGTTGAAATAAATTTTGTTAGTCGAGTGTTATAGAAGTCACTATTACTTGTAACTAGAACATACAATGCAACAAATTTGAATCGTGTGAGATGTTTTTTTTATGGTCTTATTAAAAGTTGTGGAGCGTTGAAGTTGACATTTGAGCAATGTTGTTAGATAATAATTGATAGAGGGTATGAAGTTAGGGAATATGGGGTTTTTAGTTTGGATGTTCTCTTTGTGAAATTCCTTAAGTAGATTGAAGCCAAACTCTTGAACAACGAGTCTTTTTTTGGTGTAACGTTGGAATTTTGATAGAAATTTCGAAGTTAAGTGTGCTCTCATAGGAACATTCTTTGGATGGGTGACCTCCTATGAAGTTGCATTAACGAGGCAAAATTATGAGACCATTGGGCCAAAGCGGGCAATACCTTCATGGGCGAAAGTTCGGGCTGCCACACTCTTAGAAGGGGAGATTAAGTGATTGAGAATACAAGTAATGGACATTGTTGGTTGGAGGATTGTTAATTTTAGTTATGATATTCTTCGAGCGATGACGAAGACTTAATTTGGTCATTGTCTTAATAAGAGGGAATGACAAGAGAGAAAGATAAGCTTTTGATGTTTGGTGGTTAGTGAAAGTAGAGTGTTGGTTATTGATATATATTAGATAATGGTCGACTAGGAGTTTTAAATTTTGGTTGGGCTATTAGTAAGAAGAGTGGCAAGCATCAGTGGTTGACGGACGTTGGGCATTAATCGTTGGCAGGTGTTAGAAGACAGTTATTTAGGAAATTTAGAAGTCAAATGAAGATGGGTGGTTGGTTTTATTGTTCTCTTAAAATAGGAATGAGATTTAGTGATTAAAAAATTAAGCATTTTAAGCTAGATTATTTAGGAAATTTAGAAGTCAAATGAAGATGAGTGGTTGGTTTTATTGTTCTCTTAAATTAGGAATGGGATTTAGTGATTAAAAAATTAAGCATTTTAAGCTAGTTGTTGATTGATCTTAACAGTCAAATAATGATGTTTGTAACAAGGAAGGATGGTGTTAAATCCTAAATTGTCTCTTAGATAAAATGCGCCTAGAGTGTTGAATTCCGGAGAAGGAGAGTAGGAGAGAGAGAGAGAGAGAGGAGCTGACAAATAATTCTTGGAGAGAAGAGTCGGGAGTAGTCCTTTTATTCATCGTTGAGCCTCCATTTATTGGAGGTCTTTTTGTACAATTACAGAAAGGTGGGAGCGGTTATGGAAATCGCCCGTAATTACTGAAAGGAGAGAGCGATTATGAAACCAGTCTTAATGCACTTAATGCGTTAATTTAATACAAGATTCATGTTGACATTTAAGTTTAAGATAACAGTCATTTGTGGATCAATGCATTTAGTTCGGTCGTTCAAGAAGACTGATTGTGTGGTGATTTCTCATGACAAGGCAAAGTCGATCGATTGACTACCCTGAGAGAAGCTTGGGTAGCTCGGACCATAAGCGCCCTTTGTCGATTGAATCTCTCGACGGCGTGGGTCTGCCGACCCGATAAAGTGATTGGTCTTTGAACAGTTGGTTCAGATTGTGCTCCCTTGGTTCGTCGCTTTGATTTCCCGGCTATTGTCATTAGCAGTCGGATTGCTTTGAGATTCGTACTAGTAGTTTTGGTCTATACATATTAGTTTCCGAGTTTTCCAGTTTCTTGATAGTGACAACTACGATAAGGACGGAGAAACTATTATACAACCAGTGGCACATAAATTAAGAGAATTGATTGATTACTTAGTCTCCCTTTTGGTTCCTGCTTGGTGCACTTTATAAATAAGGTTGTGGGCGTGGTATGACGTTCTTTGCTGTCAGCAATCCTCAGACAATTTGAGGGCTCCCATGATTGAGGGTGAATTCCAAAATCCTGGCTTTTGTGGGCTATCAGATCTCCGCCTCTGTTAAGAAGATCTTCAAGAAAGATAAATGGTAGAAACCAGAACCCGTATCGGTAGATCTAGTTGACTCGTTTGACAGTGCAGAGGGACCATCGTCAAAGAAGCTTCACTGGGAGGCTCTGGCGTCTGAGCCCAATTTAAGTGCAATTAATGAGGGTTAGCAAGGCCCAACTAGTGAAGATACCGAGGTCGGGGAAAAGGCGTCGGAGGGAGCGGCAGTCGCCAGTTCTTCCCAGCCTTTGCCTTAGAAAGACGAGGCAACTTATCATTAGAGAGAGAGAAGTTCTCAAGGGGCCTTTTTAAAATGGGCAAAATTTTAGGTATGCAAACAATCTCTTTGGTTTTTGGCATTTTTTTAACGACTCTGTAACACTGCCTTGATGCAATTGAATCAATCAGGTCAGAGGGCCATAGAGATGACGAGTTTTCGAAGGACGTTGTGGAGTTTGAACCCTGTGGTGGCCAGTCTGCAGGCCGAATACACTGAGCTTCTGCCATCAATTGATCAAAAGGGGAATCTGTTGTTTCTTCTTTTCCCACGGTGGGCCATCAATAGGAGAGACCAGTCGGCATCTGCCTTCACCCGTATTCACAGAGCGGCAAGCGGACGAGATCAGACCTTTGGCGGTGCCGCTCAGTTCTTCTGAGGGAGCGGTCAGTGGCTCGGCTGTAGATCTTGTGCAGGAGTTGTCGGCTCGACTGGCAACTACAGATTCAGAGATGCGACTCTGTGGATAGAGGTCGCCGCTTTGCATAGCGGGCTAGCAGCATGGAGTGCAAGCTTGGAGCACTGCTTAGAGAACTCAATACGTTCGTTTAGTAGCGGTCGCTAGAAGCTTGGTCAACTTCAAGGAGCTGATGGGGATGAGTCGAATCTGCAACCTTTATGGCAGTAAGTATATGTTTCTACACTCTCTCTTGCTTCCAAGTTTCACCAGGAAGATTGTGACGAACACAGGCAACCACTCGAGGGGGATAGACCCACACAGTGCATTGGCGGGAAATCCTCTCCGCAAGCGGATATGTTGCGCAACAGTAGCATATCATCAGCTACCTCAAAGGGCGTCCCATCCGTTCGACGGCTGTTTCTCGATGCCCCGACAATTCCTTTGGCAAATGTTCAGACGTGAAGGGGGGCATCAGGCGGCAATACTTCCTTCCCCCATTACTTTCGCAACTTTAACTCTTCCTTGTAAAGAGTATGCGAGGAAACGGAGGGTGAGGAGAATGAGTGCTCTTGATGAGAGCAACGAGGAATTGAGGGCAAGTTTTGGACACAAAGCCTTCGATTCTTTTGAGAGTGTGCCCCTTATTACAAAGTTTTGTAACATATGTACCTTTTGCGTTTATTGTTACTGGAAGTCTTGTATCTTTCAATTGAGATGAATAAAATGTTCGCTTATTTCTAGTTATAGTTTCTTTTCTCAGTTTGCTGGTTGTGTGATCGATAAGTTTGCATTGCGTGAATTTTTTTTTCTCTTTCAAGCGATTTAGATATAACAAACGTTAACAAAGGATCATCCTACTCCGATTCTGACAGAATCTAGGGTTTTGATCGAGAAGTCAGTTGCGTTCCGACCGAGAGGAGTTCCCCGAGTGTTAGATGGGACTGTGCATTGTCAAAACAAAATTAGTGAATTATAATTTGTTTTATACCAACAAAATTTACAAATTGGTGATGATACGTCCTTTAACGTTTACATAGAAAGTTTTCAAGGAAAAAAGTTTCTTCAAGTTGTCTCCTCTCCAAATCCAAGGGAGGTGCTTTCTCGCGTATGTCTTGAGCTTGTAAGCCCCCAGTGGGACCCTTTTGTTGATTATGTATGGCCCGCTCCATATCTGGTTCAACTTGTTGACTGACTGTCCTCAGGCGGTCGGGTAAACTTTCTTCAGAATTAAGTCCCATGGGGAAAATACTTTCTCTCGAATGTGTTTGTTGAAGTACTGAGGCGTCCGTCTTTTGACCTCTTCCTGTCGAAGGGCTGAGTTGGTTCGTTTTTCTTCCGCCAGATCAAGGGCCATCATCGTGCTTTTGATGATCACTTCCTGCCATTCAACTAAGGTTCTCTTCTGTGAATGACGAGGCCGTGATGAGCCTTTGGCTATGATGGTTGTACTTAGCCAATTACACTACCTCCATTCCATGAGTTAGCATGAAGGGCGTTTGTCCGGTCGACGGTGTTAGTGCTTTTTGAATCGCCCAAAGCATAGACGGTAGTAGGTAAGTCAAGCTCCCTTTGGCTCCTTCGACTTTCTTCTTTAGCAAGTCCAGGATTACCATGTTAGCTGCTTCGGTCTATCCGTTTTTTTGAGGGTGATGGGCCGAAGTGAAACGCAAAACAATTCCCTCACTTGCGTTGAAGACTTTTACGCGTTGATATGAAAACTAAATCCCATTGTTATTACGATAATAACGACCGACGACAGTTCGCATCTATATCTTAGATCTGACCAGATGAAGTTTTACGCCATTTCAACGGTTACCTGAGCGAGAGGTTTAGCTTTGATCTACTTAGACAAGTATTTGACCGCCACTAGAAAGAACTTGCATTGACCTTTAGATTTGGGAAAATGACCCATGATGTCAAACCCTAAGTGACAAACAACCAAGGACTTGAGATCGGTTGAAGCTTGTGCAACGACTGGTGATGCAGGGGCACGT